GTTGAAACAAAAAATACTCGCCCCAGAGATAGCTGTGAAAGAAGCAATAGAGTGTATAGTGAAGTTTTGCCTCATAAGTCAAAGGAAAAAATCAAAATTTCCTGCCATTCGCTTTCTCTGAGAAACGGAGACACACTCGGAAGTGGGTCGAATAGTAGCAAGTGTCAACAACAACAACCATCAACCGGCAAAACTGTGGCGCCCAACCTTATTTCAAGGTTGCTTCCAGAGAAAAGCTGATGACTGGTTTGACTTCCTAGTGTACATCATGCCAATTTATCATCGTAATAAACCGCGCTGATTAGTCCTTCTCGCCTCTCCGCCCCTCTTCCCTTGCCAGCTTTGCCAGTGAGACATCAAGACGCACTACGAAAACTAATCCTACAAACATCCATGAAAAAGGACTGCCACAAAAAAGAAAAATTACCTAACCTCACAAATCTGTTCATAGGATACTTCGTTAAGTTTCATTTCAATTTTATCCAGTGAAATTTTGTCGATAAGAACTGTTCGTGCCGAGCTTTCCAGTGTCGCACGCGTAAACCCAACAATTCTCAATGCACTTTCCTAAAAAAACAATGGCCGTTGAGCTACAGAATCTCAATCTCAGGCCAAAAACAGTATCCGGACTGCCCCTGCCGAGGTGGCATCAAATGTCATGTACAGTCTATTCTATGTAAATACGTCACAACTTACAAGCTGGTTTCTTCCTTAGCTAATACATGACGTAAATCAGTCAGAAGCAAGACAGATAATATATCCTTCTATCCAATTTTCACTTTTTCCGTGCCTACAATTACATCCTGCACAACAACCATCACTATACGGAAGAGCATCTGACTCACAGGCGGATCTAAGGGACGGCGAGGGGGAGATGGGTCTTCAACAGGAACCAGTGCTGCAAAAGCCCGGGTTTAAAGCTAAAACTAAAGTAAACTAAAGCTTAAAGTAACTCTAAGTAGCAGTGTTACAACTCTAGTTTCTGCATATTTCCGGAGTGAGAGGGGACTCTCCTCCCCAACCCCAGAAGCCTTACTCTTTCCTCCACTCCCCATCGCATCCCCGGGAGTCCGACCTGGATTCGCCTATGATTTGACTGTTTCTCTGGTCACATAACGATACTCAAAGTGCCACTGGCCCCGCTCTTCTCGTCCTCCGTCCCCATTACTTTTACATCTGTTTTATCACTATTACTTTATTGTGCTATTCCTGATACTCATAATATTAATATTATGATTATTGCGCTAATTTATAATTTTTTTTTTATTATTTCGACGACTGGATCAGCTGTACTTTAGAGTTTGTCTCTCCAATTACGCAACTGGCAATTTTTCCAATAGTTAGTCTGCTAGCGAACCCAGAATTACTAGCTATTTGTGTTTCTTTTCCTTCATCTGCTGCAGTGATTAGCAATTCAATGATTCTTCTCCTGTCAGAAACACTTGTAAGACTTTAATCGTTTCGTGATTTTCTTGGAATGGTCTGCTGGACATCTTCACTCGTCTAAAACTTTGCCTTGGTCAGTGTCTGAGTGGGAGCAGATCAGATCAACTTTTAGTAAAAAAAGGAACGCAAAAAGCAGTGTAGGTGTGTAGAAGACTTACTTCAACTTTGTTCAGCATTTTGTACGCCAAATGAACCATCGCATAGCGGTCAACATCGAATACCACTGTAAGCGATGCCAGAGCGTTGTCCAGGTTCATTTCAATTTCTTCAAGTGCTTCTTCCAACTTTACTGATAATTCCCTATAGCAAAACACAAAAGCTATGAGAAAAATTCGCAAGAAGTTGCAATTGTGCCTCTTATTAAACTCCAAAACCACTTCCGAACCGCTCCAATAATTCTGCTTTTAAGCCTTTTCCAGCGTTTAGTCCGTACGAGACTTGAGCGACAATTCCAATAAATCAGTAGTCTTCAGCGAGTGAATAATGGCGACAACACTCTGTGATGAAGATAATAATAATAACAATAAAGATAAAAATAATAATAATAGTAGTAACAATAACAATAATGGTAATAGCGACAAAATCAACACTGTTACTAGTAATAAAAATAATAATAACAATAATGATGATAATAATAATAATAACAACACCGATAATAATAATGATAGTGATGATCAAACAACAAATAAGAATAATGATAATTATGATGATAACAATATCAAAAAGAGTAGTAATGATAAAGATGATAATAACAGTAACAACAGTTAACAATAATATAATTCCGACATAGCAGCTGGACCGCTGAATGAATAAATCACACCTAACCTAACAGATGGAAAAAGGAGTTCAAAATTAACCTGTACTGTTTTAAAAATAATGTATAATAATTAAGCGAAAAAAAGTACTTGATACAGTTGAAATGACTGAAACTCGTAGTGGCTTTCTGCGCTTCACGGCATACAGCAATTGCAGCAGGAAAATTACCCTCCTGCAAAAAAAAGTGATACAGTGGAACCAAACAAACCTCTCATCGAAACTATGCAATTACTCTCTCTCCCCCTTCCCCTTCTTCCCCTCCCCGTCCTAATCGGGCAAATTTCCCACCTAAAAGTGCTTTAGTTGCCTTTGAAAATAAACATGACAAAATTAACGATGAGTGACAAAATCCCTTCCTCTTATCCACAAGTCTTCCTGCTTCATTTATGCAGATTTTGAATTTAAAAATGCATTACCTGTATCAAATCTTTTATTTGAAACTGCGCCTCATGCAATGTTTTAATTGCCTTTAGTGATGCTGATAATTTTCTTAAGAATTTCCGATTTCTGCAATTTGCAAGGATTTCCAACCCATTGCGACTTTCACATTTTGCTCGAGCAAGCTTCCTGCAATAAAGCTGCCATAATTTGCTACAAAAGTACTAAATCGTCCTTTCTCCTCCCCCTTCCCCCCCCC